AGGTTCACTTCTCAGGGCAGAGAATGCAGCCTGGGGTCCCCTGCACTGCTTCTTCAAGTTCCCTCAGGCAGACTGTCCTTCCAAGGAGCCCTGCAGCTGGTCCTCATGACAACCCCTCGAAGGCCTGGAGGTTCTGAGACACTGAGTAACTTGCTCAAGGCTACACAGCTAGGAAGAGGCCTGACCAGGACGTGAGGCAGGTGTGGAATGTGAACCCACTTCCTCAACCCTCAGGCCCTGCCCCTGAGTCTAARCTTAGGTTCTCCCCTCACCACTTCCTTAAAGAAYAACAACGAACAGTAACCTGTGCTGACAATGTGCCCTGAATCTTTGAAGCATTTCATTCCTTAATATCCACAAGGGGAAGATCTCTTTTTGGGGATCCAGCTRTAAAACCCATTACCAYGAGCAAAACTCCAGCAATCCAKGGGMTTYAAGTKTGRATACATTCCTGAMTCCACTGGTTTTTAAAAGGCAGCTATCATGAACAGCAAAGRAAAAAAGCAGTTGTACAAAAAGTGGGGACTGGGACTGTCACAAACATTAGGGAGTCAATGCCTCGATAATAAGTCACCGTTAGTATTGTTAAGCTGTAAGTGACCGGCACTTCGATGCATTTACTCACTTCATTGTACAAGGTAGGTGCCTATGACCATCCCATTTTACAGATGAGAAAAAGGAGGACAGAGAGGTAGACACTGCTAGTGAGTGGGAAAGCTAGGATGTGGCCCAGGGCAGAGYTTCCCCACTGCACCTATGGTTAGGTGCTTCAGCAGACAGTTAGTTCCCACTCAACTTGCAAATGATGTTTTGAGAGAGATGTTTCATTTACAGATAAATGAAAATTATCTTACAACTGGGAAGAGCTGGTGCACCAAACAGAAAAGTGAAATGATTGAAAATGTCTTCCTCCTGTTTGAAAACACGCACGTGACTCTTTATCTGAAAAGATTTAAATTTGGTCCAACTATACCGTTTGCCCTGATACCTGTGGGAGATCCAACTGCAGTCAGAATAATGATGCTGCTATATATGGAGGTCTGTGTAGAGGAGGGAAGGGAGAAAGACAGGCTTGGATGTATTTGTGTGGGGGTGTTCACCCTGTCAATCGCCRAACCCACATGCAATCAGACGCTAGTCAGACACTCTTGGAAAGGGAAAGGGTGATCGTAGACGGCAGCCCACTCCTGCTCAGGTGCCTGAAACAGACAGGAGCCATGGGGGAAACGACATTGAAGCCCGATTCCATATGCACGAGGGTGCCACACAGGTTTGTGCTGCTCCTTAGCCTGTGGGAATCAGTCCCTCAGGTACAGGAAAATACACCAAAACGAGGTAGAATTAAGCTGCAGAGGACTGTCCTTGACTTTCTGGTAGAGTGTAATGTCTTCTGTGCATATTTTTGAAACAGTCTGAATCAGCTAGAAAGTTAGTGCTCCCCCAGCCCTAGGAGGTTCCTTTCACTACCACCTCCATTTGAGAGCACATCAGTTGCTTATGGAATCGAATTGCACTGGGCTGGATGCAGCAACCATTTAAACTAATTTGTGGCAATCATCTTTTATTGAATCAACTTGTTTCTAGGAAKAACCTCCCGAGGGCTTCTGCTTCCCAAACTGTGACACAACAGRGAGACAACAGGTAGAAAAGTGCACACAGCCTTGGGGTCAGGACACTCACAGACCATCTACACACCCGTCAGGTCTGCTCTGAGGCTCAGCACCCGTCTTTGAGAATCAGAGAGTGACATCCACGTGGTAAARTAAGCATCAGGGAGGGAGCCTGGCATCTGGAGCCAGATGGCTAGGCTGTGAGCCCAAGTGACCTTGGGCAAACTACTTGACCTCCATGACCTTTTGTTTCTTCATCTGTGAACAGGCACAGTTAGTACCAACCTATAGGGGTGTGAGAGGATTAAATGAGTTGATGTGTAAACTGGTGTCACAGTGCTGGCACACCACCAGGTAGATGTTAGGAGAGTTTTTTGAGGAGGCCTCCAGAGGGTAGTCTTCCTAAAACAGACCCACACAGACATGGCGGCCACTGAGCAGCCGAAGAGGGAGCTTTTTCCAGCAAGCTCACAGGGAGAGTATCTTGTGCAAATTCTCCTCCCAGCCTCCGCCCCAGCTTCTGCTTCCCACCCTGCCCCTCTTCTGTCCCCCTCTCGTGGTTTTTGCCTCACATCCTGTGACTATGGGAAACCGGCCACATAACGTGGAATAATTCTGGTTCAGAARAGCAGACTCACTTCCAAAGAGAATATTTTAAAGGGAAAAGAGGATCTCGGCCCTTTTCTCATCCCTTTGATGTATTTCATGGAACTCTGTGAACATTATCACAAAAAGAGTTTTTACACTAAAAAAAATGGTCAGTTTTTCTGCTTCTGTGTAGGAAGCCCTTTGCCAAGTTTAAAAAGTCATTTGATTTTTAAAAAAAACTATTTTTTTTTTTTTAGTTGTAGATGGACACCTTTATTTATTTATTTATTTATTTTYATATGGTGCTTGGGTYGAACCCAGGGMCTCACACATGCCAGGCAAGCGCTCCATCACTGAGCTACAGCCCCAGACCAAAAGTCATTTGATATATTTTTTTTWAAGTAGGAATTGAAGTCACWCCAGAGTAGGTTTGGAAGTATAGGGYAATTCTTGGAGAAACACAAATAACAACCAAATGCTTTCTAATATGCGCCAAGGAATTTCAGAAACTTGCTGCAAATTCCCGTTGCAGTAGTATGTGTGTGCCTGCCTGGCTCGCTGGGGCATTTTGCATGTGTGGATCCATATATAAGAGCTCTCTTCTTCACAGACACCCACACATCCTATAAATGGCTTTGAGTACTTACCTAAATAGATAAGTACTTCTTAAAAATAAAAACGTTCTGACCCAAAGCAGTTGCATAGGAATGCACCCACTGGAAGGAAAGGGGGAAATAGGATTGGGCCCAGCCACTGGCACAGAAGCAAGAATGGCTAAATATTGTATTTAAAATGTAATGGATTTGAAATTGATTACATTTTTTTTAACTTAACTTTAATTTTTATGTGTATAAAATGTGTGTCACATAAAAATGGAAATTATAGGGGCTGARGATATAGCCCAGTTGTTGGAGCGCTTGCCTAGCATCCACAAGGCCCTGGGTTCAATCCCCAACACAACAACAACAACAAMAAAAATGGAAATTATAAATGTAACCCCAAATTTTAATAAAAAGTAGAATAATCATTCTGATGTTGCTGTGAGTAGAGAACATGCTTCCAAATCGTACAGCCTGAGAGGACTGAAAGTCTTTAAAAAGAATCTGCTTCTGTTTCCTAAACCAAATAATTTGGAGTATTAGATGACACAAAATAGTTAAAATTCAGGGGCCCAAAGAACTGCATCTGACCCTACCGCATCTTTGTACCGCTGTGTGACCTCAAGTACATCCATGGGCCTCGATTTTCTCACTTATCTAAACAGTGGACCAAAGGACACTTTGAGGGCACGTCCACGCCTGTTACTGCAGGCTGTACGCCATGACCCTCTGCTACGGCTGTCGTCAGGTCATAGAAACCTCCTTTTCTTAACTAGACTGATGAATTCCTCCAAAGTTTTTAGTAATGATTTTTCATGGTAAGCCCTCCCTAAATAATGGGGTGACTATTTCCACCCAGGTCACCTTCCCAACAACCTGGGGCTAACTGCTTCCTTTGGGCTTGGGACAGGGTAAAAAGCAAAGGACTTGAAACCTCACTAGGAGCCGGGGCATTGCCTTGCTGTGTAGTGATGGTCCTGCCCAGGCTGCTGTCACTCATGCACAGGTCACATAAATCACATGCTCAGAATCTAGTAGTGTCCTGAATGAGGAATACATAGATTTCCTCCCATGGTCAAGATCTAATCTCATGCAAGTGCTTTGGTAAGAACATCCTTATTTTTTAATATGTCTTCCACTTTAATGGGAAGATTTGGAATCATTGTTGTGAATCGCACAGAATTCCTCTGAGTGGCAATGATTATCCCATTCTTATATGTTAAGATTCACAGAGTTGAAGGAGGTTTATTCCAGGTTTCTCAAAGACTCCTAATGCCCCAGGAAAGAGATGAAGTAGAGCTTCCTAACTTGGTACCCAGAGTTCAGAAGACACTGACTTACAAAAGTTATTAACTGATCTACCCAGTGTTATTTTGGATGGATACATTAGAAGAAAAGTACAATGTGCCACCATATTGGGGAAGGCAGAGGAAAACTGGTTCTCCTTGGATCCTTACAGGTAAGACCAGCCCTTGTCATAAATAATCATGACTCTCCCATGTACGTCAAACACCTTCTTCCCACACTTCCTTCAAATCCCTGAGTGCTGCCTTTGGAAAGAGGCCTTGTCTGATTGGCCCACAGGAATGCTGTCCCTTGACTGTGCTTTAATTTTCTACTTTCATCTTCRTCACATATTAGATATTTTGTGTATGCATTTGTCTACGTGCTCTCAGGAGCAAGCAGGCCTCCTGAGCTGGGAGGGGTGGTGTTGCTCCTCTGTATCTCCGGTTCAGAGAACACATGTTGTAGGTACTGAGTAAGTTCTCAGAGGAACAAATGTCAGAGTCTTCGAGGTGAATAAAGGTTATTGAAGAGTAAGCAGAAATGGCTGCATCAGTACCTTAGGCGAGTGGAGATGGCTATTCCAACACATCGCCACCAAATGTCCTCCCATCTCAACCTCCATGATGGGCATTTCCAGTGCAAGGTTTTATAATTATTTCTCTTTCATGGACTGTCAAAAATGACAGTTTGAGGTCCAACTCTATGTATGTCTTTGTGAAGTACTGGAGCTGCTTCCCCCTGCCTGGATTTAAGTGGAGGATTCATCAAACATCACATTTAACAATGGAAAATGTCCCAGAAAGCACTGGTCTTGGCTCTGGCTAACAGGGGTTCTCAAGAAGAGAGGAACCTTCCCAAGCCACCCTCACCCTTGGGCTACAGAGGTGTCCTGCCATCAGATCACCAGAGCACTTACTGCCGGAGCAGGCGGCTTCGCTGGGGCTGGAAGACATCGGCTGTGCACACAGTTGACAAAGGCAGTCTCTCCCATTGAACGTGACTCGATCTCCAGGTGGAAACGGGCGCCTAGAGACAGAAAGACACAGTCCTCAAGGTTACTTCAGCAACTTCATTCCCCTTCCTTGCGTCTTCAACTTGCCCTCTGGTGCAAATTTATTTACTGGAGGAGCACCAGCTAAAAATGTCTGAAATGCAGTCATGCCCAAGCCAGCCAGCTGGATGTGGTCCAAACAAATAAATGTACCTCATTATGAGTAGAAAAGAGAAGGCACTGGTTTTTATGGGCAACTGGATAGTAAAACGGAATGATTTACCTCCACTCCTTAGTGGAGGGATGTCCCAACAAGTCACCCAGCAGGCACACAGGACAGTAAATTTCCAAATGGAAAATCTTCACCAAGAAACCTTTTAAATACCGTGAATTCCAGCTAAGTGCAGGGCCCCTCCCCAGCAGAACTGGTTATAGGCCAAGCATGAACTCTTTCAGTTCCATGGGACCACACCCAGAGTGCTGGGATAACTATGCTGAGTTAGATTTTGTCCTTCCTGGACATCGGAGAATTGCACAGTCCTGGGGACCCAGTCCTTTATAAGTCAAGAGAAATAGGACAGGCAGTAAACATCTGTTTAAGAATTAATAGTAGCTTCTTTTCAGAATGACACTTTCCTTTTACATTAGACATTCATCAATAATAGCACATTGCCACTAAATACCACCATCTTCAGTTACCATTTCTCATCCCAGTTTACCAAGAGACAGCCTTTAAAAACAAGTCATTAGTTAACAGATGACATGCAGTTTCCATTTCTGTTAACTTGCAATTGGCCAATTTGCCAACAATCTTCATCAACATGAGTTTTTAAATGTGTGACCTGTTGATTAGGAAATGTGAAACTCACAGCGAGACATCAGGAATCAGAGTCAGAAGCAACTGTTTAGAGCAAGTCTGAGCTTCTTGACATTAGTTTTTAACTTTCTCAGCTGCTATCTCCTTTTTCAATCACCTGTCTGTGACCTAACAGTTGGTGATTGACTATATGCACAGGTAAACTTGGTCTTAACTCCACAAATGTGTCTGGTGCCAGTAATCAAGAAGGGCAATGTGTGTGTGTGTGTGTCTGTGTGTGTGTGTGTGTGTTTAAATATGTACTAGGGATTGAACCCAGGGGCACTTAACCACTGAGCAACATCCCCAATACTTTTCTATATTTTGTAGAGAGACAGGGTCTCACTGAGTTGCTTAGGGCCTTTGCCAAGATGCTGAGGCTGGCTTTGAACTTGCAATCCTCCTGCCTCAGCCTCCTGAGCTGGTGGGATTATAGGTATGCCGCTATGCCTGGCATGGGCTTTATATTTGTACACCCTCAAATATTATTCAAAGTCCTAAGAAGAGATGGGGCCCTCTCTGCTGTGGTGCTATCATTTTTCATCATCTGAATAAGCCCCAGAAAGGGTAAGAGACTTGCCTGGGTTGACCAGTGATGGAGACTAGACAGGTGCAGATGGCATCTACCATCTACCATAATTTCTTAATTATGATTTTTAAAATATGTAATTAAGAAATTTAATTTAATCAAGAGTGAAACTTAACTCTGTCTTTAATAAGCAAAATCACTGCTCTGGTGGGTGCCAGTGGGCCTATGGCTTCACACTGACAAGTTAAAGCTGAACGGGCCTCAAGTCCATTCTGTAAGGAGGCTTAAGGGCCCATCAACACAGCAACTCAACAAGCACAGGTTCTTCTGCCTCTGAGGAGGGCCAGGACTGGGGAGAGGCAATCGAGGCACCTGTAGCTCAACATGTCAAGAAATGCCCACTCTCCAGGGTTGACCAGCACTCTCAAGATGCCCAGAACAAGCACTCCAGGATCCTTGCTTACCTCACCCAAGTCCAGGTCCCCTTCTCATCCACACTTTATTTTTTTTAGACATGAATCCTCTATGGCACAACCCAGAGACTAGTGTTCAATGTGTGGCCAGGCTTCTGAACTTGAAGTTTTGTACCTTGTAGCACTCTTTCCAGTACTTTCCTCTCTCCCTACATCCTCTGATCATATGGGCTTGCTTCCTTCTGTTATTGAGTGAATGTTTGTAATAGGAGGAGAACTGGATTTCGAGGAAGAAAACCTGAGTTCAAATTTTAACCTTCAACTGTTAACCTACAAAAGTCCCTTAAACTCTGAGACTCAGTCACTCAAAAGTAGGGTTATTAATTCCAAATTGACTTCACAGAATTGCTAACAGGGTTCAGTTCAATTCTATATGAACACAACTTGTGAACCACAAAGGAGGCCTCAATTCAGGTAGAATTATCATCATCTAGAAGCAGCAGTGGCCACAGCCCTATAATACAGKCTGAGCAACCTTAATCCACAAATCTGAAATGTTCCAAAATCTGAAATATTTTTGAGTGCCCATAAAATGCCATGGTGGAAAATTCCACAGCTATCCTCCTGTGGCCACAGTCAAAATGCAGGTGCACTAAAAGTGTTGTATAAAATTACCTTGAGGCTATGTTGTGTAGGTGCATACGAAAAATGAATTCCATGTTTCMACTTAGGTCCCCAAGATGTCACCTATGTAAATGTTCCAAAATCGAAAAAACAAAAAACTGATGTCCAAAATACTTCTACTCCCAAGAATTCTGGATAAGAGATACTCAGCCTGTAGCAACAGCAACATCTCTGTTGCCTCACATGTCCAGGGACAGGGCTCTGATTCGTAAATGTTTGGCCATCAGTACACCAATTTTAAGACCATGATCTCTCATGATCAAGAACAGAAGGGCCCTCAGAGTTTACCCGGAGCAAGGGGGCTAGGTAACTTCACATTGGGAACCCTCCAGAAACTACTATATTGTATGTGTGTCTTAGCAGAAAAGCAGGATAGAAATTGATATTTTTAAAGAGATCCCAGCCCTATCCAATCCAGAAGTTACAGTGACTGGCCAGACTTTGAGCATCTCTCTCAGCTAGTCCACAGCCCTTTCTTTTATAGTGGAGGCCACTTCCTTGAAAAGCTATTCATAAAAATCTCAACTCAGCCCAGGAAGTGGGGCTCAGACCTGGGTCTCCTCCACTGTCAGCCCAGGACCCTTAACCAGGCTGTGGGCCACAGCCTGAGAAGGGAGAAGTCAGGATGGAGTTTCACTTTTGATTAAATCAGAAAAWTGATTAGATTATGAATCTAGAATTTCTTCATGATGATTTTTTAAATAYGTAATTAAGAAATGGGCTAAATGCTATGAACTTAAATAATTTTGTTAAGAGTATTTCACCTGTCACGTATCACCTTGTTGATTATGCAGTATTAAATCTACCCTTCCAGAGTTGACGTCTCTCTGACTTAGAAACACGAAACACTGAAAACCAAAACAAAACTCCACCTCTGAATGGCAGTTTCAGATAGGCCAAGTGAGAGGGAGCTGGGTGCCAGAGGACATGGGAATACTGAACTGGAACTGACCCACACAGAAGCTGGCCCTTGTCAGCAAGTCTCCTGGTCAGAAGAGTCAGACCCATCTTAGTTTTATGATCTGTYTCCCTCACCACACAACAGCGAAATTTCCCACTCACATTTCACAGTTTCCTTCTTCTCTTAGACTGATCATTTGAATCAAACTGGTTTGTGCAGTTAAGTTTTAACTTTGGAAGGTAGATACCTAGACAGCAGGGGTTGGCAAACTCCTTCCCTAAAAGAAGATTCTAAATGTCCTTATAGGCTTTGTGGACCACATGGTCTCTGTCACAGGCTTACAACTCTCCTTAGCAGCTGCAGACAATATACAAACAAATGGGCGTGGCTGTGTGCCAATAAAACTTTATTTACAAAAACAGACATTGGGCCTCATTTGGCCTCTGGGCCATAGTTTGACAATATCAGCCAGAAACAGACTATTTTAAACACAGACATGCAAACATCTGTGCGAAAGAACATGTACTTCCAAATTAGCTTTTTCCTTCTAAGCAGTTGTCCATTTCCTCCAATATTTTCATTATTCTAAATGTTTGGAGCTGCCTGTAGCCTTGGTTTTAAGTCACTTAAAGTCATGTCGCGTTACTTTGTAGAGGACATCATGTATAAAGTTTCCCAACCAAATTACATTTTTTGACTAAGATTGAAAATACAACAGGAAGAGAATATTTAAAAAGAGACATTTAAAAACTAAGTGCTATTCAAGACCAAAAGAGCTATCCCAAGCTTGAATGGCTAAAACCAGTGTCTCTCTGTTGGAGGAAGCTGTAGACTTGGGCAGATAATCACTTACTTGCAGACTGTACAAGCAAAGCAGTTGGGATGGTAGGTCTTGCCCAGGGCAGTCACCACCTCGCCCTCCACGAACTCCCCGCAGCCATGGCAGCGTGTCCCGTACATCCGCTGGTAGTCCAGGGTGCAGAGGTACTCCCCGTTCTTTATGAAGAAGCCCCCTTGGGCCAGGTCACAGCCACACACTGTAGAAAGACAAGTTCACATCTGGTCATCATCTGGCAAGTGCTGGCATCAGTGGCCTTCAGCTGAATGCTGGTTGCTCACTGTGGTTTCAGTGGTTTGGGGCTAGGGGAGGGGACGGATACAAAGARCTATTTATTGCCGGGCTCTGCTTTCTCTCTTGCCTCCCTCCCCTTGGGAGATACGCAATATCTCACACAAGTAAAATCCACTGGCTGGGCCTCAACCGCTTTYGTGGCATGTCTAAGATTTAGAGGTAATCAAACAGCCTTTGATGGAAAGATATGCTGGGTTCAGGTTGTCTCAGATATGAAGAAAGGTGCCCCTGGCAGTGCTATTAGGAAAGGTGCCCACTGCTTGCCCTCACAACTGCGTGGTCTCAGCCAAGATTGTTACTGAGTTGAGTAATAAGTTCCCATTATACCAAAAGCAGTGACTGAAATTTCCAATAGCTATTTTTTCACACTCTGGAAATACTTTCCCCTAGCTATGACAAATGGAGACATTGAATTTTCTCTTTATGCAGTCAATAAGATAAGCTGATTATTCATGTATTAGAAAAAGAGGGACAAAAATGGATGGGCAAAAGAAGAAAGAAAAGGGGATACGTCTAGGATAAAACTGTCATTCGTGACCTTAGTACATACACAAGAGAACGCTGCATGGTGTCTGGATTTGGGTGTCTCTTTCAAAACTGCACAGCTGTGGAATTTGGAGCTGATGCAAACAAGCAAGTCTTGGGATGCCAGGGACTTGGGCCGGTCTGCATGTTCAGACCAGATCCAAGCAGGTCACAACAACTTGTCCCCAATAAAGCCTAAAGCAAAACCTTGATAGTAAGACCTTGTCTGTTTCCACTGACAGACTGAGAAGTAAGAGCTAAAGCTGGGAACCTCTGGCCTTCACCTCTCCATCCCCAGGCTCAGGTGACTCCTGTATAACTAAGGCTCTTAGGCAAACAACCCAGGATTCTTGATGATTCCTGGCAGGGGCACTCAGGTGGAGAGGGGACAAGGTGAGTTCAGTCACTAAAGTGCTTTCCAAAGGAGCCTCAAGAACACCTCCAGGGTTCCCCCTGATTAGTTCCCACAGCTGATTAATGCACCTGATGAATTAATGCAGAGCCCAGATTCTGATGGAAGTAGCTCCTCCCCCACCCTTGGTTAGCACTCCGAAAGATATTCAAGGTGACACAGAAGCCACAAATGAGCTTTACACTGTGGACTCATCTGTCTTTGTTTAGCCCAACACTCCACCCCTATGACTTTCTTTGCAATTTATAATTAAGTAACCCAAGATTATGGCTGGAGTCCACCACGCCTGAAACCAACCACACTATAAATACTACGGTGATCATATTCTCTGGAAAACAGCTAGTCCACCACCTGCTGCCTCCTCTAACCTGCCAGCATCGCCTCCTGCCCCACAGATCTCACACCTGCTCCTTCCTTACCAAGTGGGCTGCGGGAGCCCAAGGATGGACTAGCCTCATTCTGACCACACATTCCTCCAAAAACAAGAAACAATGAGTGGGATAAAGCGGTGTCACAGAAAACCGTGCACACGCCAGGCAAGGGCCCTATCACTGAGCCACGTCCCCAGCCTGGGAACACAATTGAATCCTATCTCCAACTTGGCAGGGCCCTACTAATTTCCCTCCTCAGGGACATTAGCAGTTCTGATGACTCAGTTACTCTTCCAAAATTGGTTACTTCTCAAATCTTTAAATCACTAGTCCCTCTCTTTACTCTCTCCTCCAAACATATAGTCTGGGTACAAAAATTCATGGATTGTTTATAAAAAGATCTGGTGACAGCAGGATCATCTTCAGGCCAACATACATTGTTGAGACAGTTTCAAAGCTAATGCTGAAGGCAGTGGAATTTCTCTGGGCCTTCCTTAGGGTCCCTCTCCATGCCGTCTTTTCTGGTTCACATGATTTTGTGAAACTCTTCTTTATTAAGTCCTAGCTTTTCTGAACTTTTATTTTTAAAAATGACTTTTTAACTCTCAAGAGATGCAAACTTCACCCCACTGTGATTTGATTCGGCTTCTCCCTTGATTTCAAAGCCGTGGCCCAAGTTGCCTTACCAAACTATGTCAGCTTTTTCCTGGTGTTTAGGACAGCAAGGAAACCAGCGTTTCAAGAGAGACTCTAAAAAGGAGCCTGAGTCCTGATCGGCACATGTGACAGGCCATGAGAGGGAAAGTTCATGAGGCCAATACATGAACGATACTTAACATTTTTACTTTCCCAAARTTGGAATAGGGGTGGCACGATCCCAGGTTCTTTCCTCCTCTTTATCTCTGAACATTCCAGCTCAGTCTCAGCAGCCACGCCCCTATATACAGGTAACCCCCAGGGACACTATCTCCTTTCCTAAAATTTAAGGCCTCTTGGGGACAGACCTCACCACTTTAGCTGAGACTTTGTGCAAAGGATTCTCAAATCAGTCTGACCTCTCTCTGCAACGCTTCCTGCAGGCTTCAGACCCAAGGTGCAGCTGCACCCAGAGCACAGCCCATCTCAAGCCCAGCATTTTCCAAACAGGTCCTATCCTCTCAGCTCCCCTGAAACCCCACCTTAAAATCTGCTTTACGACTTCTGTTTCCTTGCAATAAATCAGCAGCTGCAGCCTTTCTCCCATTCTTATAACAATATTTTCAACTGGCCACTAAATCTAATCTAGTTCCTCAATAACATGTTTCTCAGATCCTTTTCCTCTTCTGCCTTCTACCTGTCACTGTGCAGACCCTGCCCTTCAGCCTTGTTCTTCTGCATAGAATTTTGTTATAATGGTATTTGCACTGGCAGAAAAGGAAAAAAAAATTGGAACCAACTGAATTTACATCAGTGCAACAATAGTTGAATAAATTATGGCATGTTTAGTCTATGGAGCTGGCATTAAAAAAAAACAAAACAATCAGAACAATACATAAAACCAGCGCACGGTGCTATATCATGAACAAGGAAAGCAAGTTCACAAAAACAGAGGGTTATTAAGTTGGTTCTCTCTGGATGATGAAGAATTATTAACTTTTTCTTCATATGCCTAAATGTTATCTCATCTACAAATATTTTAACTGATGATATATATATATATATAAAATTTAAAAATGATTAGGATGATTATGAAACATAAAATATGAATATTCATATGAAACATAAACTGAGCCATCATCATCATTTTTAAGTAGACAGATAGGTGGCCCTGAGCACATTCATATTGTCACAATACCATCCTCCACCACAGAATCCTCATTTTTCTTGCAAAGCTGAAACTCTGTGCCCCATAAACGAGTACTCCTTTTTCCTTCCTCCCTCCAGCCCCTGGAAACCGCTGTTGTATGTTCTATGAATCTGACTGCTCTAGGTACATCATATCAATGAAAGCTCACCTTTCATTGATATTAAGAAAAAGTATCCAAAACCTAATAACACCTTTAACAAGGTACAGGGAGGAAGCATGTTTTTTCAATGTCGTTCTGGAGTATTCCTTAACAACGCATGCAGGAACAGACACGTATCAAAAGAAGTAGTACAAATGATCAATAATTATAAGAAAAAATGTTCAACATTTTTAGCCATCAGGAAAATGCAAATCAAAACTAAACTGAGAATCCATCTCACCCCGATCAGAAATACAGCTATCAAGAATACAAATAACAATAAATGCTGGCAAGGATGTGGGTGGGAGGAATGCTTGTACCCTGCTGGTGGGAATGTAAAATGGTGCAGCCACTATGGAAGTTAGTATTGAGGTTCCTAAATAAATTAAAATTAGAACTACCATGTGATCTAGCTATACCACTTTTCAGTATATATCTGAAAAAAATTAAAAAGTATACTATGGAGAAACCTACATGTTTATTGAGACACAATTCACAATAGACAAATTAGGAAATCAGCCCAATTTGACAAATGAATGGACAAAGAAAATGTGGTACACAAACACAGTGGAGTATTATTCAGCCATAAAGAACAACAAAATCAAGTTATTTGCCCAAAAATGGATGGAACTGGAGGTCGTCATGTTAAGCTAAATAAGCCATATTCAGAAAGACAAATATTTCATGTTTTCCCTTATATGTAGAATCTAGGGGGTAAAAAGACACCAGGGATGTATCAGGGAGACTATTAGTGAAGAGGAAGGGAACCAGGGAAAGAGGTGAGCAGGAGTGGGTAATGGGGGATGGGAGTGACCAAATTATGTTGTGTGCATAYCAGAACACGACACACGAAACCTGCTGTTCTTTGTCATTAATGTGCACTAATAAAACTATTGAGAACTTCAAAAAACAGCTCACGCAGGATTATTTCATTATCCAGGGAGACTAGATCAGAGTTTGACATGCTTTTTACCATTGATTTAAGGCCCAGACTTTGGAAGCTAATTTTAACTCTGCCCAGGGAGCTGCAGACGACTTCAGCCAGGCGTTACCATCCTGCTGAAGCAGTGATCAGTTCTCCAACTACCCAGCATCTCACTGCAACATCCTTTCCTGAAGGCCTGTATAACCCAACCCTTTGGTTTTCCTTCAAAGCAGCATTACATTCTGCTGGCTCCCTCATTAACAAGTTGAATAAATCCCTGACACGTGCTCATTCTGTGTTTGTATAAGAGTTATAAACTTTCTGAAAATTGCACTCTGACAAAACTAAAGCATTATTCTTCTCAACCCAAAATACCTGAAGTTGAACATTTATTTATTTATTTATTTATTTATTTATTTATTTATTTATTTTTACGAAAAGCTTTGGTCTGTTTTATATGAACAGCTTAGCGAATACTTTTAATTGATGGCATGAAGCAAAATTTTTTTCCCATCTACAAGACCACAAAAATCTGAGTTAGTAAGATCAAAGCAAACCTCAGTAGGATATATTTAGATTTCTTACTTTAGGGGTTCCACCTGTGTTTGCTGTAGATGAAAGTTAACATAAGCCCAGGGAAAAGCAGAGATTCCTTTCATTAAAACATAGGGCAGCCAGTGGAAGGAA